AACTGTATCATCAGCATAGAAACGTAAGGATGCATCAGGGATGGTCTGACCCACATTACCTATTTTTCATTCAACCTTTATTTATACAGGTTAATCCCATTGAGCCTCAGGGACTCGTTTACAAGACCTGATTTCTTTAACAAAGAGTGATGACAACAGTGGATAACAATGACAACAATAGACAGTCAGAGTCAGAGTCAGAGTCAGAGAGTCAGAGTTTCTTTATTGTCATTCGCACCTCATGTGGTACATGTACACGTGGTGGAGCGAAATTATGTACACAGGGTCCCAGTTACATCCAACAATAAAATGTATAAGAAAAACAGTAATAACATCGAAGATATGAACTAAGAAAAACATCAACTAAATATACACTAAGCACTCATAACATAAAACATTGAACATCAGCACAAACATGAACATGAGTCTGTGAGCAGATGTGCACGCACAAACACATCAACATTGAAACAGATCAGCAGCAACATGAAACAGATCAGCAGCAACATTGAAACAGATCAGCAGCAACATGAAACAGATCAGCAGCAACATGATATGGTTTTTCACAGTGATTATTCTAGTTAGAGAGTCATGAGTCTAACAGCCTCAGGGTAGAAGCTGTTCCTCAGTCTAGTGGTTCTACACTTAATGCTCCTCAACCTCCTTCCTGAGGGGAGCGGGGCAAAACATGTGTGTGCTGGGTGAGTGAGGTCCTTCATGATGCAGGTAGCCCTTTTCCACATAAGGGGGCAGGTTGAAGGGAGGTGGTCTGCCTGATGTTGGGGGGCAGGTTGTTCCAGAGTTTGGGGCCCATGACCGAAAAAGCCCGATCTCCTCTGAGCTTCTTGTTTTTGGAACAGCCAAAAGCAGCTGATCAGATGATCTCAGGGCCCGAGAGGGAACGTAAGGTTCCAGAAGCTCAGAGAGGTAAAGGGGTGCGAGGCCATTTAAGCATTTGAAGGTCAACAGAAGAATTTTAAAGACTATCCTCGTACGAACAGGGAGCCAGTGAAGGGAGGACAGAACTGGAGTAATATGTTCAGACCTATGAGTTCCGGTTAAAAGCCGAGCGGCAGCATTCTGGACGAGCTGAAGACGTGAGATGGAGGCCTGGCTGATCCCAGCATACAGTGCATTGCAATAGTCCAATCGGGTCGTGACAAAGGCGTGGACTAGTTTCTCAAGGTCGGGTCTGGACAACACTGGCTTGAGTTTAGCTACCTGTCTGAGTTGGAAGGAGCTTTTCTGCAGAACAGAGTTGATTTGTTTGTCAAACTTGAAGTCAGAGTCTAAAACCATCCCGAGATTTTTACCAGACTGCTTCAGATATGGCTGAAGAGAGTCCAGGTGGACAAGATCAGTGAGCTATGGGCTAGGGCTAAAAACAATGACTTCAGTCTTGTCATTGTTAAAACTTAAGAAATTTGAAGCCATCCAGGCCTTAATGTCGTCCAGACATTTTAACAGAGGGTGAATGGAGCAAAAACTTGCTGGTTTCACAGGCAGGTAGATCTGGCAGTCATCAGCATAGCAATGGAATGAAAGACCATGTTTCCTCAGGATGGACCCCAGTGGGAGCAAATAAAGTGAGAACAGAAGGGGTCCAAGAATCGAACCCTGTGGGACCCCACATGAAAGAGGTAATGAGGCAGATACATTGTTACCAACCTTAACACAGAAACTCCTGCCACTCAGGTATGAGCGGAACCATTCTAATGCAGCACCTGTGATCCCAACCCACTGTTCCAGCCGTGATATGAGGATACTGTGGTCAACAGGATCAAAAGCAGCAGTAAGGTCCAGGAGCACAAGTACCACAAATTGACCAGAATCGTTCGAGATCATAATGTCATTACAAACACTTACTAATGCTGTTTCAGTGCTGTGGAGTTGCTTAAAACCAGATTGAACAATTTCGAAGATTCTGTTGTCATTCAAAAACTTGTTTAATTGAATGAAAACTATTTTCTCCAGGATTTTGGAGAGGAAGGGAAGTTTTGAGATTGGTCTGAAATTTGAGCAAGTCGAAGG